GCGGTTGATCGGCGCGTATGGCGTGATCTCATCACGAAGGCAGTTGCTGAAGTGCGGGAGAAAGCTCTCTTGCATGTAGAGAAGAAACGGCAAGCACCGATGGGTTGTTCTCCATCGACATCAAGCGCATGGTGCTATAGCACATGCGGTCGCGAGTGCCTGAGTCAGACAGGCCTAGTGAGCCATGAGCGAGGCCACTCGGGACCACTACCGAAGCGACGACGGGTCCTGCAAAGAACGTAGACAGAACCGGCGCAGCGTTTGTAGGTACACTGCATTCGATTTACTAACCGCGTGCTTGCATGCTAAGTCTCTTTATTTCAGGTGGTGGGTTCCCAATTTGTCCTAATGCTTTTCTTTCTCAAATAAATGTCCACCTGTAAGCTCTTCTATAAACCTGCACAACTCGCTTAAGCCAATTGTAGTTAATTTCGATAACATTTTCGTGTTTGTGTCATTTCCGTAAAATATACTTTCTGACCCCCTGAACTTACCACGGATCCGTTGTTAACAACTTATTTCATATGCTCATTAATTTAAGATTTTTGTCACCGTTTCCTTACACATTGCTCGATTTAATTTCTTTGTTAGCTTTCTCTCAAGTGATTGGCTGTCGCTTGATATCCCCGGTGTGGCTGCGCTTGATGTGCATGTTGACAAGGTGCCTACCTGTCTATTACCCACTACCTCCTCCATACTGTCTCTCGGAGACAGTTTGTCATTGCTGGAGGGGACGGGGTGCACGGTTCTTATGGCCGTGCTATGCTCGAAGAGCGGTTCCATGCACTCAGTGTGGAGCAGACTACGGTCCAGCCACCGCCTTGTGTGTGCTTGATTCCCAAATACAGCGTGCTTGTGCCTGTGAAGAAGTGTGGGCCGGATCAGTTGATGGAACGTGTCTCCCATCCACATGCCTCCCGGTCTTATTCCTTCGGGTTTACACTGGATATGGGGTGTGTGATTGGAGCTGTGGGTGGTGTAGCGCAAGCCACCCATGGTCCCTCTGTAGGCGCAGGCGTCCTGTGGCTGGCCACAGTGAGAGGCAAATCCGAAACCGGAAGCCGCCAACCATATATATATATATATATATATATATATATATATATATATATATATATATATATATATATGAGTGCAGAACAAACAGTGGGTGGTGTCATAATCCCCTCGTGAAGTACATCCACAAATGTGCTAGTCAAACCTTTTTGTGGGTCACCTGTCTCACGCGTACTTTTAGTGACACTTGCATTTACCGTGATTTTCACCCTAACAATCCTATAGGACGTGTCAAGCATTTGCTCTCATACTCGTTATAAATCATTGCTCCGCTGACCGAATTACTTCTGTCTGGAGGCTCAGTACAGTTCGCCAGCCTTAACATGTTAACAGAGGTGCGGCGCATCGGGTTGTCTTGACATGCGACGTCAACTCTAGTCATCTGACAAATGACAGCCCCAGACCCTGTGGTCCACCTATGTGACCGTATGAATTATCTCGCTTGGGGTCGTATACAAATTGGTGCTTATTAACATTCATACTTTGGTCCATAAAATGCACTTGGCCCGTTGCTTCGACAACATTCATAAGCCACATATCCCCCATACTAGCGAATAGTGGTGTGCGAGCGAGGGTATAAACTACGATATTATTATCTAGAGCAATTAATTGTTTCGACAAGATAGCCGTAATGGAAGGGGATGTGACTGAATCAGTCGCTGTATGGACGTTTTCAGCGCTTCATAACGTTGTAACGTGTAGCACAGATAACTCGATTATTACATGTGGATAACAGCATCCACAAATGACAGTAGAATGCTTGTTGGTTGTATTCATTCATTACCGAACTCTGGCGCAATTGTAAACGACTGCCCAAAACGCGATGGGGTATGTATGTGCGTTTCCCTGTTGGGTCATGGAGTAACCGCCGTGTGTCCGGATTGTGATACAATCTCAAATGAGGTCACAGTTTGCTTGGGAGCAATCCTCAGTCATTTCTATTACTAAGACCGTATTCGAAGTGGGGGGGGGTTCGGAGCTGCAGTGTTGGATGGAAGCAGCTCTGAAACTTTCCACTTCCGCGTTAACTATTCAATATTAGGTAATTGAAGGCGATCTCAACTTACCAAGTAAAGACGTCGGAAAGCAAGCTAAACTTTAAGTTCGCCTCCATGAGGGGTCCGAACGCAGCATATAACGTTTACAGAGTGCACAACACTGTAGATCGTATATCCGCTTCCGATACAACAGTCATAGCAATCGACTTATTAGACTGGCTTGGTGGCTAGTAACCATACTGTTGTTAGTTGCAAAAGGAACGTTACGTGGACTTTGATGTGCACAGCTGTGCACATCCACGAGAATTTCAGTCGATTCATTTAAACATTACTAACTTACCTAATCACCAACTGAAACATGTTGCGTCTCGAGGAAAAGTGACAGGGATGAAAGAGAGACTATTTCTAGATGTTTATACTGCTAATCAGGCTCCATGTTGTTAATAACAACAGGAAACCCGGGAAGCTGTCGTTTCAAAAAAGAAGAGGAAGCAGAGACCTTAAATAGTGCTACGCAGATAACTGAGATCAGTTGCTTAAACAGCGAAGCAATACACAACAAAACTCGCCTAGGGGTTAGTATTGGTACTTTTGCTGCGGCGTCTGAAGCTTTAAACTTCTATTTCGCAGACATTTTACAACTGAACGATTTACATGATGCTGGTCGATGTACCTTTAACATAGATTTCGACACTGGTTCAGTTAAGTGTTAGAGTAGAATAGTAGGAATTGCATTTCAACCGGACCTAGATAAAAACCACTTAGGTTCTCCTAAAGTATGGCGGTGACGACATTCCCCACTTGATATTGGACTTGTTTACTGCATCAATGAGACCTAGGTTTTTATCCCAATCAGTGGAAACTGACGACAGTAATAGCCACCGTAAAAACCGGGCCCAGACATGTGATCAGCAGACATCAGCAGTACGCCGGAACATCATAGTGACACTTGCTGACGCCTGATTAAGACCAGCCAGTAGAAGCTGGCCAGTCAATGATGTGACATAAAGGCATGAAGAAGTAGACAGAAAAACTTGGTCAATCTGGTGCGTGCCGTCTTCGTGGATAGTCCCCGGGATGTTCCACGCCAGTGGTTAGGGACCCTATCAGACATGACACAGTCTCACAGTCTGTGGCGTATCAGCATTCAGTTTAATGCAACGTTTCACTTTCATTCCGTTCCGATTAATTTAACACAATTATCCTTCGATTCCATTTTCTCTGAATGCAATTTGGGTTCAGCCTAATTTTCTTACCGTTGTTATTTAGTATTATTCTGGCGACGTGAATCGTGGCAACTGTATCCACCACACTTTGGTGCCCAAATCATAATTGTTCAACTTCAAAGCAGGGCGGTGGTCAATGTAGAGCTACATTGATGAGGCAACGTTGGCTGTATGAAAATAGGGATACTGTGTGGACACAGAAACCTAAACCGATTAAGTAGATTCAATAAGCAAACCGTATCAGAAAAACATTAAACCACAAGATGAAAAGCAGAAGTGGAAGGCAATCTAATTCCGACCGGACCAGAATATTATGTGTCTTGGTAGTAACCGTCGACAAATCGAATGGCTCTCGGAGCGATCACAAGTCTGGCACAGCATAGGTCAACGAATCGAATAAATAAATAAATAAGTATGCTAACCGTTACAATACTCCAGGATTTAGCAAGGTTGAGATGGAAGTACCGTGGAAGAGAAGATGCAAAATCAGGCACAAGCTAGGGTTAGTTCAGGCATTCATTAGTAAATGCACGAATACGCTGGATCCCACTGAATTCGGGGGAGCGTAGAAGTAAGCCTTGCGCACCAACCGTCCTCTTTACTCTGCGTCCTTCTGATGTTTACCCCCGATATATAAAAATCGGGTCTCACTTTCGAAAACTGAGTGGTTGAACGAAACAACAGGGAAGTGAGCATGAAAAAGATGGATCTAGATGAAGAGAACTCCTATGGAAATACCAAGAAAATATAGTAAGCCTTCTACAATAGGCCACATGATGTAGTAGGGCATGCAGAAAATGTATGTATGATTGCTTTCCAGATGAGTGTTCCATCTATGGAAATACACTCAGTGTAAAGACCAAGCAGATTATGAATTACATGGAAAAGTGAGCCTACTCGTTAAGTGGCTTGAAAGTAAACCAGTCGTTTGGTACTATGCGACCCAGTAAGACCGTGCGTAGTAGCAGTAGTTTAACAAGGTACATCATCCGATGCACATAAGACGCGCCGGTGGGGTTCAGGTTAAGCCAATGCATAAGCAAATCAGTCACTGTTCGGAGTTTGGAATTTCGGGATTTAGGCCCGCTCGTCGCCATACCGGGGATGGTCGACGGGACCGGTCAGATACCTTATCGAAAGTGGCGCGGTAACATAGTCGGTGATGCTAAGGCATTATTAACCATATTCCGAATGCTTCACCCTACTTGATGATTAGAATTTATGTGCATTCTCTTGAATTCTTAATGTTACTGTTTCGGTGACGTGTGTCAAGGCAATTGGACATAATGCATAAAATTGGACAAAAATGAACTGAATTTTAGCCAGGTGTATTGAAAAAAGCGATAAAAACGATTACTGATATCATAACACACGCACGAAGCCCTCGCATGACTAATGAGACTGGTGGGAAATGGCCCAAAAGTTGAGACCCGCGGTCAGATGAATATTGATTTAATGTCGACAGCGCCCATGAGGAAATTCAGGTTATGACAGTGAGCATCAAAGATATCAAATTCGGAAAGTGTGCCCTATTGCTCCATTCACTGGGTGTAACGGGATGTAACGGAAAACATGCAAAGGACACAATTGTCGTCCGAAATAAGTCAAAATGAAAAATGAGTAGTCGGCCATCGTACACAAGAGCAGAAAATGTAGACTAAGAAGGCGTACAGTTCGTGAGTTAGGAGCAAAAGAGAACCGTCATAAAACTAGCGCTCACTGGAATGATATCTTGTTTATTGGCGTTGGTGGTGTTGTAGTTTTCTATGAGATTGCTTTGAACGAATGATCGTATTGCATCGATCGTACGCGCTCCTCGGTATTCCGTTTTTGATGTGTATCCGTATTTGCGCGTTTTCAAGGTAGGGTATTTGTTAATCTTCTGTTGGAAGCAGTAAGCTCCTATAATAGAAATGAAATCATGGGCCAGTAGATTGAATAAAATTGAAAGGACAAAATGGCGAGGCATATTATGTGGGAGTAACGGAAAACAAGTATCCCGAAACAATTTGACATGACTACGTTCAAAAGAGCGGTAAAACAGCACACCAACACAGTATCTAGTTTCGGCGCTGCTCTGTCCCAACGCTGCACATCAAGACCGACCAGGTTCGTCCTGATTTGGGCTCGTCAGAGAGAGATAGTCTGAGCTGAGTAGAACCCGATACATAGTGGTTGACGGCTTACACCTTGACCACTAGGTTAGAGCTCCGCGAGCAGTGCTTGACGCTGACACACTTATACGGTAGTGAAAAAAGACACTGAAAAGACGCAATGTACAGATACTATTGGTGAATATAACGTCAGTGGCAAAACTAAGTAACAACACACTGCAAGTAAGAGGGGTTTCCCACGTTATCATATACGGCGGTTTTCCGTGCCGGTGTTGACGCCTTCCCAGTCCCATGGTCACATAGACAAGCAGTTGTTTTTGTAGGCAGCAAAAGTGATATGAGTCAGCAAGGGGCAGATGTCAGATGAATGTGGGGAAAAGCACAAGATTCTCCGGTTCAGAGAGCGGATCATAAATACAAACAAGGTACTGTGAACCACTTAGTTGCACACTGAGCAAAAAGGTTAAAAACAAAAAGAGAGCCCAAAATTTGGGTGTTAGGAAATTTCCAAATCGATCAGCGGGTTTCTACTCGCTCGAGAACTTGACTTAACATAAATGATTTCATTGACGGCTAATCCGCCGACGCAACGTACTCAGTACTATTTGTTATCCCAAGAAACTTGCATGAGCATCACTATCTAACACTCACCTATGCATATCATCGTTGCGGATACACTGTTGCCATTCAACACCAGCAATGCTCCGCAGGAAGCGATGAACAGACCTGAGGGCCCCTCAGAACCTAAAACCGAGGGGCCCTAGTCTCACTCTCTTACAGCAGGACATAACTGTAAACATGGCATTCCTGATCAAGAGACATCTCCCTTTGACGCCATAGATGTCGCAGATTCAAGAATGTAATTCTAGCTCTTGCAATATGTGACCTAACTTCATTGCTAACGCGCCCAGCTACCAAGGAAAGTGGTAAGTAACTACCTCGAGTTCAACGAATTACAGGCAACGCTGTTCTTCAGCAAAGCAAATATTCCCATTGCATTCACATGAATCAAGACCAGAAATCAGTTAAGAATTCTTTTCGGTAAACCCAAGTCAGACCCGAACGTTTACATAAAGCTGATTGTGTGGGGTAAGCGTCAAATCGGGCTGGGATTAAAGCCTTAACAGAATTACAACTAAAATCCTGCTACTCGTGAGTAATATGATTTCTAATGTGTTTGAACGGTGAAAACCGATGACTAAAGGCGACTACAGATGGCAAGAAAAGCGCACCGAAGGTACATTAATACACAAGCTTCAGCAGTTTAAAGTAAATAGGTAAGGTCACAAAGAGGAACTAAGTAACCATGTCAGTCGGGCACGGTAGTAGTATCGGCCGTATGAATCGTCTATGTACACATAATTCCGGCTTCAGATGTTGGATAGACAAGATCTGCTATCGGAATGCTTGCGAGAAGCGTTCAGGGAGTGAGTAGATGACTTTAAAGTCATTCTCAGATGCAGTATGGCCACATTAGAGGAGGTGCGACATGATTGAGCTGTCTGAGAACCTCAGTTTGCCTTTGTAAAATCGCGCCGGGATGTGCTCGCGAATCCTCTGGGATAGGCGTCTCGTTGTATCGTGTATCAGGAACACGAGTACTGATAAAGGAGGATTGAAAGGGTCAACGAGGGCAGATTATCTTTCGAGGGTTTTGTAAGCAATGGCTTGTTATGGTAAACCATTCTTAAGCGGACTGCGAAATAAGTTTTCCCAACAGCATCTTTCAGACGTCGAGCCGAAACGCGGACAACAGTGTTTGAAAATGAATTTATTCTGGATTCAAAAGATGTGTCTAAAAAACCATCTTGTGAAGTTCAGTTGCTCCATTAATGTTGAAGTGGATGAGAACATCATGTAAGCGCATTTAGTGATCGACCAGTTAAGGCAAAAATCCCAAGAGTATAAGTGACTGGATCCTGTCTCCGCGAACATTCATGGTTGAAGCAAAGCAACGAAGACTGGAGTTCAAAATGTTAAATGTCTAGTCTCATGGATTGGCAAATATTTTCTTAAGGATGACAGATCGTGAGTGTACACAGTGAACTGCGAAGGATGAGAGACGGATACGCGCGGAAAACAACCAGGAAACAAACGGGAATCAGCGAATTAGTACAAGTAGGCAGCATTAAGAGAAATCCAACTGAAGGAGAAACGCTTACCATCAGAATCACAATCCACGCGGGCAAAGATCACGTCAGCCGTCTATAACGTAGTAATATAGTATAAGAGCAGGACACGCCCAACCTTAACTTGTTCCCGGAATTCGTTGGAAACATTTTCGAACACCGGAGCAAATTGGCGACTGAAGTGGCACCAGTCTGCCGAATACAGAATTAGTGCAATCTTGTAATTATCTGAATCGAAACTCAATCAAGTAAAGGGACGTACTTAATAAGGTTTCATTTCCGCCGGTAATTGAGAATACATCACCCCAACAGGTAAGGACAAAAAACTGAAAAGATAATGCGTTAAAACAAAAAACAAATGTGGAATTTGAGAACTTAAGAAAAATATAAAATCACAGGGCCGACTTGGAACACCGAAGTTGTCGACAAAGGTGGAGACAATGACAAACTCCCCTACCCGATAGGCGTCTGTCGCACTCAACAAGCAGGCATGAACTACGGAACGAGCGCTGCGGCTAAGATGTTCATTACAAGAATCAAAGTAGGGATCGAGTTCAAGCAAGGGAAATATGATGGCACGGAAAAAATGTGCAGTTTCACTAAGATCGATCAGCGTGATAACTACTGAGGAGCCGATGGATGAGTGCATTATCATCTGAAAACTCAGTCGCGAAAACTAAGCTGAGCTAATTAACTCGGGTAGCAGTAAATCAGGAGAAAATCTGAGGCGGGTATTGCTTGGAGTCGAGCAAATGTCGCTTCGCATTCAACAGAAAGGGTCAGAAGTAACCAACTTCGCATAGAAAGACTCGGTGGAGTCTGCGCATCATTCCTGAGCGAGGTGAACTTACTGCGGTACATGATGATAAGGGAAGGATGCGCCTTTGGGTAGATATATGTACTCAAACGTTCGTAAAATATAGATAGCGATCAGGGCATCAAAGGAAAAACGTGAATACTGAAAAATAAAATTGTGAAATCTGCCGTGCTCCTTCGCCCATAACTTTCGCAGAAGCAGCCTGCATTTCCATCCGTCATCAGCATTGGAAAATTCAGACCGGAAAATGTCTTCGTATCTTCTGAAGAAAGACTCGAAAGCAACGCTGGCACCTGAGTCATACTGAAATTCGCAAATAATGTTCGACACGGAATCCGCTGAAAATGGGGTTTTCAGCACTCGGTCTTGTCTGCTGCACAACCAGGTGCTGAAGAAGATTTTCGACTAACATTGATTGGCTTTCTTCAAATTGCTTTTGCAGAAGCTGGAGAATGGAGGCCATTTTTTCATTGAAACCGGGATTATTGGGTTCTTCAAAGCAAAAACCGCTGTCGACAGTTGTTATGACCACGGCTTCACGCCAAGTGGCTGTGATAACCGTCGGTCTCTGCGTTGCTACAGTTACAGTCTCATTCCGATCAGCTGTTCGACCCCGGCCCCGGACTGGCTGACAAAACAACAATGGCGGACATCTCAGACCGTGTATTTGCCGAACGACAAGATAAAACGTAGAGCATGCGGGTTACATGTATAGGGATTGGGCAATTTGATTGAATATTCTCCTTTGCTTTTTCTTCCTTACTTTCCAAATATAGCATCAGAATCTTCAGGGACATTTTCATGGATAAACGAGACTGTTCGAAGAATTATTGGCAGAATCCGTTGGTTCTTGTCGAAAACAAGTACCACATCATCGTCATCATTATACACGTCAGCTAGAGGTGGGAAATACCTCAGCTACTGTGCCGCAATACATAAAAGAAAAGTAAACACAACAGTTGCGTGCCAGCTGAGCTACCAGCAACGGAGAGCCATCCTTCCGGTAAGCTACCAGCCGGCTACTAGGCAAAAAGAAAAACTATGTTTTACGCTACGAAATGAGATCGTAGGTGGAGGGTGAGGCTAAAAGGGATGGGGAGGGACAAAGAAACTCATAGCAGAACGCCACTGAGGTCGGCTCCTTGCCATGTCAGCAAATGTATCCAGCCAAACGTGTTCACCGTCTTTTGGACCCCAACCAGGGAGCCGTGACGCTCCAATCGAGGCCAGCTCCAAAGTGAGGGCCTTCATTCCTCTCGACCAAGTCATCGCTTGGTCGCCCCTCCTCTTCTTCCATCCACTTCCCTGGTGAGCAAACAACGCACGTCGTGAAAGTCGGTGGGCTGGCATGCGCAATACGTGGCCGAGCCATCGGAGCCTGGTGTGTGAAATAAGTGTGCTGAGCGGTTCAGATCCTTTTCCTGGGCCGTAAACAAAGCGTCGAACACGCTCGTTACTCACGCAGTGTTCCCACCAGATGTGAGCCAAACTGCGAAGGCACCGATGGTCGAACCTAACTAACCTCTTCAGGTCCGCTGCTTTAAGCGGCCAGGTGTCGCAACCGTACAGTAGGGTCGAACGTACCGCTGCATTGTACACTCTACCCTTCACGGCGAGAGTAATGTCGCGCCGCCGCCATAGGTGGCGAAGGTTAGCAAAAACACTTTTGCGATACGGTTCGTGACCTCGTCTTCGATCCCAAGGGCGCTGATACAACTTCCCAGGTAGTTGAATTTCCGAACGACTTCTAGCTGATCCCCACCAAGGATCAGCGCAGGAGGTGATCCCTGCCAATCTTGGAGGAACGCTTTGCATTTCGATGGTGCAAAGCAAAGCCCGAAGCGGCTGACAACCAGTGCTAATCTGTCCAGCGCGGCTTGCCACGTCTGGGAGCTGTCACAGATGAGAGCAATGTCGTCTGCCACCGGTCGATTCGGTAAGTGCCCCTCTTAACATCACACAGTTCAAAGTTCACTTGGAACGGTGTGACGGGGACTCTGCATCGGTCTGTCCACCTTCTGGGCCGACATTCAGGGGTAACACAGGGTGTAGTATGTTTATCTAGAGAAGTTGCAACAGTCTTCGATAACTTGAATTCATCCAAGTATTTGTAAGTCGTCTAGACATCTTCAGATGTATTTAGCAAACACATCTCCTGAGCTGGTTGATGTGACGGACCCACCTTTCTTTGCTCACGGTTACCTCTTAGCAGATATGACCGTACCCTTTTGTAATTAGGCCGCGTGTCCATGCGATATTTCCCCTTCGATAGTCTTTTGCCAGAACCATCTGTCCAACATCGAAACTTCTCGCTATTGCTTGGTACCTCCGATTGTATTGGCGTTCCATTTTCTGGTTTCTCGCCGCGCTGTGATTCTTCTGCGGTCTTGTGAGGTCAAAAGTTGTTCGGCGTTTCCTCAGCAGAAGCGATTCGGCCGGGGATTTTCTTTCAGGTTCCTGCGCATTGGATGTGATCCTATACTCCAATAAGGTTTGCAGCATCTTGAGAATCGGTCCATCCCCTGCCTCGAACAGAGTTCTCTTGAATGTGTCGACGAATTTCTATTCCTGTCTATTTGGCTGAGGATGATGGAGATGCGAACGGAAATGTTCCATCCCCTACACTACACAAAAATCGGCGAATTGGGCGGAGGTGAACTGAGGCCCGTTGTCAGACACAACTGTATCCGGGGAATCCGAAGCGACTGAAAACGTCTCTGAGGGCGGCTACAGTGGCTGATGAGGTGATGTTCGACATTTGTAAGATTTCAGGCCATTTACTGTATGCGTCAACGACAAGTAAGAAGTTATGTCCTTTGATGGGTCCTGCAAAATCAAGGTGTACTCTTGACCATGGTTTTGTGAGCGTTGGGCAAGAAAGCAGTTCAGACTTTCGGGGTGATTTCGCCGCCAACGAACAATTGGAACACGAGCAGGTTAAATCTTCAATTTGTGAATTCATGAACGGCTAATAAACGTAACTTCGTGCCAAAGCCTTCATTCTGCTGGAGCCAGGATGTCCGGCGTGAAACTGTTTCAATACCCTGGATTGGAGTTCTGTTGTTATGACGACGCGTTCCGCGAACAGGACGCAGTCTTGGACAATGGATAAAGAATTCCTTCTCTGGGTAAACTGCATTAGCCATGTGTCCTAAACTTTTCGTGGCCACTGTGAACGATGGAACTTGCTCACTTATGATAGCAACAGGTCACGTTACTTGTCGAATCAGACCGAAAGATATTGGCCGTCGGCTCACCGTGTCTGAAAGCACCTTATTAACTTCCATTTCTAATGAGACGTTAGCCACAACGGTGTCTTCTGACTGATGTTGTTCGTCCATCAATCGTGATGGCGCATCTGCCTGACAAATATCATTTGTCGATCGGTACGTAATAGTGAAATCATATTCGAGCAACATTGTAGCCCGTCATTGTAGATGATTGACTGTGTACACTGGAATCCCTTTATTGGACCCGAATATGGCAAGCATAGATTTGTGGTCCGTTATTAGTAAATTGACGACCATCTAGCATCTTGTGAAAATGTTTTATCGCAAACACGATGGCTAGATCCACTTTTTCGATTTGACTGTAGTGTCTTTCCGCTGGGGTCAGCGAACAATCGGCAGGAGCGACTGGTTTCTCGGCTCCGTCAGGGAAAACGTGTAAGATGACTGAGCCAACTCCATAGCTTGAAGAATCTGAGGCCATAACAATTGCGAACTTCGGATCATCTCCGAGCTCAACATCGACTGGATCTTGTTGAACACTTCTTGACATCTGGGAGTCCATTCCAATGGGGTATCCTTCCGAAACATCTGGTTTAAAGGCCCGCGTAAATCATGCATGGAGGGTAGGTAACCGCTGTAGTAACTCACCATGACAAGGAGTGATCTTAGGGTCGCTACATCCTTTGGTGGCGGCATGCATTTGATCGCTTTGATGCTCGACGGGTCCGGTCGTCGCCCATTCTAGTCAATGATAAACCCAAGATTTGTAATGGACTTCATGAACAACTCACACTTCTTCATTTTCAAACGAAATCCGTATTCGCTTACTCTATTGAGTACATGCTCCGTCCGTTGACACAGTTTATCCTGGTTAGACGCCATAAAGAGGATACCGTCTAGATATGCTGCGGCTTATGATATCAATGATTTGCTGAAAGATGGCCGGGGCCGATTTAACACCGCGTGTACTGAAATAGTCCACAAGGGGTACTTATAGTCAGCATCTCTCGGGATTCCTCCGACATTTCAATTTGGAGGTATGCGTCAGACAAGTCTAGAATGGTAAAGCACTTGTCGCCGTTCGAGCGTGCGAAAAGGTCTTCGTGATGTGACAGGGAGTACTGGTGATTTTGGAGCGCCGCATTTAAGCCAGTAGAATAGACTTGCCATTTGGCTTCTTAAAAATTATAACTGGTGCCGCCCATGATGGGTAATCGACCGTCTTAATGACTCCGGCAGATTGTAACCTCTCAAGTTCTTGGTCCACGAATGACACAAG